GTGGTATGGTTGTGAACGGCCCGTAAGCGGCGGGATGTCTGCATCGTCTTGCGGGGACCATGTTCGATCAGACTCTGAGCGAGCTCAATAAGACCGGAGGCACTACTCATGCTTTAATATAACTTGATATGTTTATTTTTTGAGGTTCAGCGTTTCTGAAATTGAGATATGGTAGTTTCAAAGGATGTTGGGGGAAGACAAGTACCCCGCTCAATGACGCAGACAATATTCAGACACTGGTCTTGATTTATAATCATCGCTGCAGGAGACCAATTCGAATATGAGAGTAGGTGTCTATGACATTGAGATAGTTGCTGTCCTTACCTGAGATTCTGAGATACTCCATGGGGTGCATTTCTTCCGAGTTTGACATAAACGTATTGCTCGCTTTACATGGTGATACTAGAAATTCGGTCTGATATAATGAACGCTCTCCGGTACATGGGTACAAACCAACTGGTAGAACGAAATCATGTATTTAAAGCTGTAAGACTTATTTTTGTATTCTTTTGGAGTGGTAATTGGCCCATTCCGGGACCAGCCATGAGCAAGTTGAACAGCCGTTAGTGGATGACTGACACAGACATGATACATCTACGAACTCCATGATCAACGCCAGTACGTTGCGGCGAGGACATGTTTGAATCCTCGGGATTCACTGTAGAAGATGTTAAATCAGCAGCGTTATTGATTAATTGACGGACTGCTACAACGGCTCAGCTACTCACGCTTCAGATCATCTTGACCCTTCATGGAGCTGCGCACCATGACTGAGTTTGATCCTCTCATGAGGCTTCAACATTTATCAAATCCCTCCAAGACGTTATTTCTGGAGCTAACTTCATATGACAAGGTATGCTTTCATCGAAACAATACCTAAGAGTCATTACCTGCCGCAACAACAGATAGAGCAGCAAGCATCTTAACTCCTTCTACAAAGCTTGCCTGTGTCTAGACTATAGTCCCAAGCATCACTTCCGACTCCAGATAAAACCCAAAGACTCCCAGTAGGGTCATATTTCTCTTTCACTCTCAACAGACGAGAATAAAATGCTCCATAGAAATCCTTCTTAAAAGACGGATTATAAGGATTTGCCTCGTTCATATACGCTCCAGTATCCGGCGCCCATTCCTGCCAGAGTTTCTCCTTGGAGTCATTCAGCTCACGTGCTCCTTTCTCCAGTGTTTCCGCCGGTGTAAGGGTAGTGTTGAGAGTCAAACTGTAACTCATTGTATGGAGATAGGTTGATCGCCATGCCGGTAAAAGCGCGCCTCGCATGCTTCTTGGCGTTTTTGCAGGACCTGGTCCACCTTGCAAACCGATCACAGCCATACCGGATCCGTTCAAGTCTGAGTTTGTGATCATTCGCTTGAGATAGCTAATCAGCGTCGTCTGTTTGATTTTGGATGTCTCTCGGCGACCGAGGAGTCGACTGGATGGCATAGAATAAGCTCCGGCCTGGTTTGAACCTCCAGCATTCAAGGCTTCGAAGAAACCCCTGTAGGTAGGATGGACAGTTGTGTTGGAAGCAACGATAGATAGGATGCTACTATCGTTACCATTGAAAGTATAAATCCTATCGATGGCCATCTGAACCAACTTTTCGGTGTCTGTCTTTGACTTGTTGAAGGCATAAAACCCCTGGCTGATGCTGACGCCGGCTTTGTGGTTGCCTTGTACTACCGCTGCACCGGCCAAGCCAGCATCCATAAGATCAGGGAGCAGTCGCAATAACTCTGAGAAAGCATTCCAGGTCCCTCCATACGCGGCTGTGGTGTTACCACGTGGAGATATAGTGAAACCGGTTTCAATGACACTTGGTGCGGGATAGGCTTTCAGCACATATTCAGTAACGATACCATATTGTCCCGCGCCACCCCCTCGAATGGCCCAGAGCAGGTCCTGATTCCGAGTGGCATCGGCAGTGAGTATGTGGCCCTGAGTCGTTACAACTCTCACTTGGTAAATGTTGTCAGCAGCCAGGCCGAAAGTACTGGACAATGGGCCATGACCACCGCCTTGGATGTGCCCTCCCAAGCCAACTGTCGCATCATTACCACTCACAATGACATGATCGTACTTGAGGGCATGACCGACTGCATCACCGTAAGTGAGCCCGCTTGCAGCGATGAGCACGGTGTCTGTCTTATTGGTCCCAGGTACTCTCCAGTCCGAATCGAACTGGACATGTTGCATGTGACGAGTCCAGATGGACAAAGAGTGTGCACCACTAGATCTATAAGAATAGTGTTAGCGAGGGCCAAATATTTGGAGTGACAAGAAATACAAACCTTCCGGATAGGTCATGGCCAGTTCCCTTGACAACGATGCGGATGTTTCGCTCCGATGCCCATTTGACAGCGAGAGCGATCTGTTCGTCGCTTGTCGCATTTACAACATAACTTGGATATCCACCGAGATGGCAACCAGCCGTTTTGTTGTATCCTGGAGCCCCAGGAGGTAGACAGGAATTGTTGGCGTATAATGGGGATGAAATCGACTCGGGAAGATTGGCATGGAAAGTAGACTGAGTCCAGCTGGCCTCAACGATGTTGCAATTCAACGGTGCGTTAAACGGATTTGTTTCGTAACAGGAAGATGCAGCCGGGCGTGTCTTAATTAGACTGCCACTAATAGAGTCGTTCAACGCTGCCCACTCAGCATCAATAGGCCAAGTAGCATCAAAGGGTGAAAGTTTGCATCCTCGCGTCGCCGTTGAGGAAGCAAGAGCTGCTGAGCATAAAGAAAGCGCAAGAAAACGCATGATTTCTGTTTAGTTAATGTAATGCTGAAATCAGTATGGAACTATTCCTTGTTTAATGCACTTCCTCGCCGCAATCGGCTCTTTTATAGCCATTTCAGCCTCGCTAGCCAAGGGACACAAAGTTCCGGGGCTCTCGGACGCAACGGAGAGTGGTTACCTATTCTGGCTTTTTCGTATATCCATCTCCTTTTTCGCATTCTAAGCCAAGGGCCTTGCCTGTCTGTGTATGGTCTGGCTTATGTTTTTGGTATAACGTACATGATAAGCGAGTGTTACAAACAAGCGAGTGTTACAAAAATCTTAACCCTTGAGACAGGAATCGTCATGAGAACACAACAAATCACGCAATCAAGTAAAACTAATCGCTTTCCTCTTCTCCAGACATCGAAACAACTATTTGACACGTTCTCGCATTATGCCCTACCTTGCCGCACGTTCCACAGTTCCTTTCCTTTACTTGCGCCGACCTTCTTTGA